ATGGGAGGGGGAGGGGGGATAGTAGGGGATAGGAAAGGCAGCAGAATACAATAGTCACTAATATGGCATTATGTAAAAATGTGGATGTGTAACTGATGTGATTCTGCAATTTGTATTTGGGGTAAAAATGGGAGTTCATAACTCACTTGAATCAAATGTGTGAAAGATGATATGTCATGAGCTTGGTAATGTTTTGAACAACCAATAAAAAAAAATAAAATAAACTTTTGGGGAGAGGCAAATTAAGAATTTATACATTAGAGGGACTGGGGTTGTATCTCCAGTTAGAGTGTTTGCCTAGCACATTTGAGTCACTGGATTTGATCTTCAGCACCACATAAAAATAAATGAATAAATAAGTGTATTGTGTCCATCTACAACTAAACTAAAATCTTTTTTAAAAGAATTTATACATTAGATAGGAAACCGTCTTTTCACTTTCAAAAGAACTATAGAAATGCATAATGTTTACCTAAATTTCATTATGGAAGTGAAATTAATATTTTACCAAATTTAATTATTGTTTCATCTACAGCATAACATGATTTCAGAGACTTAACCATTTTTAATCATTTCTTTATTTGGAACTGTTGCTTGAGTTTTTAAAAATAGAACTATTGCATGCTGGTACCATCTTAAGCATTTTGCTGTTATCTATATATTTATCATAAGATTTATCTACATTTTATGTTCTAAGAACATAAAAATTGCTGACTTTTAAGTATGAACCGGTAGATTCGTATCACACAAAAGTATTTCCTGTACTTCTGGTATATAACTCTAGATGAACAGGAAAGATATTAACCTTGAGATCCTCCTGTCAGCCTATTTAAAAGGAATCATTTTGTTGTTGTTGTCATTGATGTAGCCCTTTTGACTTCAGCGTTCTCAAAACTATCATGATTTAGTCTAGCTAATTTGAATTCATTATAGAGGAATTTCATCCGATTTTTCTTAAAAAATATGACTTATATATTTCTTAAAAAGAGGCTTACTTTTCTAGCAAGGGGGAAAATAGGACACATACAGAGTAAAAAATATAGTTCAATGAAATAAGGCTGAAACAGATGATGGCAAAAAAAGAAAATGTTGAGGTAAGAACTCTGAGGCTTCAGAAATAAGTCATTTGGGAATAAGAACAAGAAGTTACTAGGAGCAAGTAGCTGGGCATGATGATATGTGCCCATAGTCCCAGCTACTTGGAAGACTGAGGTAGGAAGAATAGTTTGAGACTAGCCTGGGCAACATAGTAAGACCCCATCTCAAAAGAAGAAGAAGAAGAAAAGGAAGAGGAAGAAGAAGACAAGGGGGAGGGGGAGGGGGAGGAGAAGGAAAGGAAAGAACCCAGATGACAATCACAAAATAAAATTTGTGGAAAAATTATAACAGTCCAAGATTAGCATTCTCCTAATACTTAAAGCAAACCTTGGGTGTAGAGTAAATGGCTTCTTGTAAATGAGAATAGAGTTGATGATATTTCTAGAGTAGCCTCAGTTTACAAAATAGATCCTGATCAGGAAGGACAAAGTGGTTGGAGGGTAGTTAGAGTTGGAATTGAACAGGATTATTGAGTGTGGAGCAGCCCAAGTGTAATAAAGCTATTACTCAGGACTAGAGAAGTACCAGGTGCTGTGATGCACCCCTGTAGTTCCAGCCATTTGGGAGCCTGAGACAGAGAATCGTACATTTGAGGCCAGTCTCAGTAATTTAGGGAGACCTGTGTCAAAAAAAAAAAGAGAGAGAAGAAAAACAACGTTGAGGGGGGTCGTGCTGGAGGGTAGAGAATCTGTCTGAAATACAGAGGTGAAGGTCAGAACTAAATGAAGTTTGCTTCTTCCTGCAACAAATAATTGTGAAATTCCATCCTAGGTCCTAGTAGAATAGGTGTGTGTATCTGAGCATGCATGTGGAGCTTAAATATCTTTGCTGGGTCAACCATTCTTGTCTCTAATATAAAGTACAAAATTTAAGGTGATCTTCTCTTGTATGCCACTATCCTAAGTTTCTAGGTTGACATCTCAATGCTGAAGAGTTTATTTTGCTGACACATTGAATTTCCTCTTTTTGAAAAAGCTGGGTGCAATGGCACAAACCTGTAATCTCAGCTGCTCAGAAGGCTAGGGTGGGGGGATTGAAGTTCAGGGACAACTTCAGCAATTTAGCAAGAACCTGTCTCAAAAATTTTTTTCTTTATATTTTTTAGTTGTCAATGGACCTTAACTTTATTTATTTACATGTGGTGCTGAGAATCAAACCCAGTGCCTCACACGTGCTAGGCAAGTGCTCTCCCACTGAGCCACTGCCCCAGCCCCTCAAAAAAAATTTTTTTTTAAAAACTCATTTCTATAACTTAACTTTCTTTTCTATCATGTATCTTTCCTTTTTTGACCTATTCTTCTCCCTCTTTATACAGATAAATTATTTTTTAAAAATAATGCTGTATTTTTATTAACATGTATTAATTATACCTAGTGATGGGTTAGTGTAATATTTCCACACATGCATATATCATATAGTGATCACATCTAACCTCCAGGTATCCAGTATCCCCAATCTCTATTAATCACTCTTCTACATTCAGGTCAACCTTTCTTTTAAGCTTCCACTCACAGAAAGACAAGTACCACCTGTTCTTTCTCATATATGGAAACTAATCATTCTCTTTTATTTTGCACTAGGGAGAGGAAATTCAATGTCAGTATGTTGTGACATGTGCAGGACTTCACTCAGATCGTATTTCAGAGTTAAGTGGCTGCAATCCTGATCCTCAAATTGTACCATTCCGGGGAGATTACCTGCTCTTGAAGCCAGAAAAATGCTATCTTGTAAAAGGAAATATTTATCCGGTGGGTAATGAAATGTTTTCTGACTTCTCAACTCTTCTCAAGTTGGTTGTAAGCATAAAAAACATGAAAACTTTTATCTGTTTCAAAAGTAAGGAGGAGGTTTGGAGGGCTATTTATGCAGGCATTTCCTATGTTGCTCTGTGGTTAAAGCCCTAAATATTAATTCTAATATCTTGATCATTAAGTGGTAATTAATTGCCCACAGGTACACATCTCCATAAGGCATGAATGTATCATAGGCAGTGTATCAAAAAGGAACCAGATTCTTCCTCCTCTCTGGTGGAGGGACTAATAATAAGAGAACTTTCCCTTACAGAAATCCCAGATACCCAACTGTCTTTCTCAGTTTGTTGTCTGTAGGTACAGAAAAGGGATGTGGCTACTCTGAAGTTCTGGGAACGGAACACAGAATCGTTAAGTAAAAGGCTCATTTTTCTGTCTCAGACTACCCTGGAAATGAATGAATACCTTAAAGTATGAGGTTGAAGCAGTTGAAATTGATTCAACTAATATTTAGCTATTTGATTTTACTTGGTGTTTTTTGCCATGCCAAAACACCAAATTCATCTGCTTCAACATTAAATATTCCCACTTGACAAAAGTCTGTGATATGAATGTTAGTTTTTTTTTTTCTTTTTCCTAGCAGCCATGGTTTTACTTGCTAGTCACAGGTATCCCTAGTTCTGGAGAGAGGTGGATAATCGAAGGAAGAGAATGGGATAGCATGTGTTAATGTCAATAGCATCAGTGTTTCCTGGATGGCATTTCTAAGCAGGAACACGGTAATAGAAAAGCATATCAGAATATAGTTCATAATGCAAATTAAATGCATAGAAGAAAGTGTCTTATATTACTAATCAGATGCTTATATCTATAATAAAATGGAATGTGAAATAGGGCTAACCATTCTTTGCTGTGTTGAATCTATAGGTTCCAGATAGCCGCTTTCCTTTCCTAGGAGTTCACTTCACACCAAGGATGGACGGGAATATTTGGCTAGGACCTAATGCAGTTCTTGCCTTTAAACGGGAAGGATACAGACCCTTTGACTTCAGTGCCAGAGATGCTAAGGATTTAATTGCCAATAGGTAACAACTTTAAAAAACAATGTTTTAAATTCTGAGTGTATTGGCTGCATACCTGTAATCCATGCTTTACTTAAGAGACTGAAGCAGGAGGATGGCAAAGTCAGAGCCAACCTGGGCGATTTAACGAGACCCTGTCTCAAAATAAAATTTAAAAAATGGGCTGGGAATGTAATTCATGCTTGTCTAACATGCATGAAGCCCTAGGTCCAGTCCCCAGTACTACAAACAAAAGGAAGGTACGGCCAAGAGCCATTTTACACCAAATTTTATATTGTTAACCTAGTTGATTTTTTTTTTTTTTTTTTGAGAGGGGGTGCCAGGTATTGAACTCAGGGTTGCTCAACCGCTGAACCACATCCCCAGCCCTATTGAGACAGGGTCTCATTGAGTTGCTTAGCACCTCGCTTTTGCTGAGGTTGGCTTTGAACTTTCAGATCCTCCTGCCTTAGCCTCCTGAGCCACTGGGATTACAGGCATAAGCCACCGCGCCCCGCTGTCAGTTGATTTTGAAAGGGAATAAAAGTAAAGGTTCTGTCAAAATCAGTAGATGACTTCCTTTGATAATAACATCTTAAGCTAGTCACCGTTATTTTGTAAGCTACTAGAAAATTTGCTGATGTCCAAAGTGTTCCTTTTTGTGGAAAACTGGCAGAACTATTGTGTTGACCTAAAATGCAGATTTTTTTATTATTGAAGAAACACCTTCATGAGGTATTTTGTTTGGTCTTTATAGCAGAGTTCTCTCCAGAGGATTTCGTATGCAAATCACTAGAAAGCATTTTGTACTGTACCTGGATTTCACCCTCCACAGATTTTGAAACAGAGGGTTAGGATGGGGATTCTCTTATAAATACATTTTTGTAAAAATACGTTGCCTATGCATGCTGAACATACACAGGCTCTACAGAGTCTGTCTTGAGGATCCTTACTATAGTTAGTGTCTTGCTCTAATCATTACTAGAGTATCTTAATGATTAAAATAGGATAGATGTCTCACTTGTTTAATGCCCTGATTTAAAGACCTGCTAATGCCTTTTGGGTGTCATTGAAAGCATATGACATTTGCATTAAAAAGCCTTGATGTTGGCAGCCTTTATTAGACTCCTGGTTTGAAACCAGTGCCCCGTGGGAATTTGAGTTTGGAAGATGTTTCCGTCTTCAGTTGATGAAGTTTCCTCCTTAAATTGACCCAAAGTTGATTTTAAAATGTAGTATTCCTGATTTTGCCTAGATTTCTAGTGATGCCACACCCCCACCCCCCAAAAAATCTCATAATTTTAATAGTGATTTATAATAATAAAGAATTCCTTTTTTCTCCTAAAGAGTTTTTTTCCTTTACTTTCAGTGGCTTGATTAAACTGATCTCCCAGAATCTCTCCTATGGAGTTAGTGAAATGTATAAAGCCTGCTTTCTGAGTGCAACAGTGAAGCACCTTCAAAAGTTCATCCCTGAAATTACTATCTCTGATATACTTAGGTAAGGAAAAGTGACAAGGATTGTGAATCTAGTCCTGACCTTGGTGAACTTGAGAGGTAGGTCTGACCTGGTGAGTAGTAAGCATACTTAACAGAGTCAGTGTGTTCACTGCATCTTTGTATGCTCTCTTTCCCAACAAGTTGCCAAATTCTTTTTGAAGTTTGTGTATTGGGCATGGCTCCATCATGGCCCTTAGTGCTGGTCCATTTATAATTGTCTAGGCCTCTTTACAACTCTAAACTGAAATCTCCATCACAGCTTTATTTTGATATCACCTCAGCCTTTGTGTCTAACTATCACTCAGGATAAAACATATTTCCTGGATTTTGAAAAAGTTGCCCTGGATACTTGCTCTTATGATTCTAAAGCCTTTTGGCTTAAATTCTGTATAAAATAATCGATCACATGTTAAGTAATTAGGCAATAAATGCATTAAAACTTTATATTTTGATCAATTCTTAAAACCTTTTAGATTCAATCTTCTAGACCTGGCATCTTACCTTGCTTTTATTTTTTCATGGCTCTTTCTATACACAGGGACTCTACTTAACAGTACAAAAGAAGGAAGAAGCCGTGTGGGAACCATTAAAGTTTTTGCTATAGGGGTTTAGGTAAAATAAGGGACACACATGTAAACTTTTTTTTTTGTTGTTGTTGTTAGATAAAAGACTTCTTTCTGAACTTGATCTGTCAGTTATCCTAAATACTACCTAAGCACATTATTTTTTTCCTCTTTGGTGATATTTTTAGTGTTCACCTTTTTCCCTGAGCAAGCCATTTGTTAGCCCTTATCAGCAAGGGTACTTGGAGGTAGTCACCCTTATTTACAATCTGTCCTTCCACGACTTTCCAGAACACCAAATGTCTACCTCTTTTTTAGCAGCTGCTGAACTAGCCTGGTATAAAATGTCAGCTAACTTGACTGTGTATCTGGGAAGAGAACAATAATCATGTCAGCTGTCTCCCATAGGGGATAGTCCTGGTCTAAATCTGACTCTAATGTATCATTCTGAGACCAGCCTCTTTGAATCCTTAAAACTATTAAAACCCAGCTAATGTTTTTATTCTTATCTCCTTTACCCTCTACTTACCTTCTGAAATGGAAGGGATAAAAATATCTGGGCTTTATTTTTTTGTGCTTACTAATAAAACCTTTTATGTCTTTGGTGGTTTGCTTTAGTAGATCTATAATGTTTTTTGTCTAAAAACAGACTGATCAAATCTGGTTTCTGTTACTGCTATTAATATTCCTTGAAAAACACACTAGGTGGGCACAGTAGATTCTATGTAGAAGCAGTTGCAGTGAATTCACTATCCATATTCAATTACCACCCTTTCATAGATGCCTGAGGCAAACACATTAGATCAGTGGATTTCATGTAGTAGAGCTGGACTTGAGGTTTATGGGTATTAATGACTCCTGTCTCTGAGTGTAAGGGTGTGAATTTCAGTTAATAGCTTCATTGGCATGAAATAGAAAAGAGCACACAGCACTGTAGGCAGGTGCATTTGGGGACAAATTCAACTCAACCACAGATGAGTTCCTCTTTAGAGACAGATGCTGAACATATTCAGCAATTCCTTTGTTCCTTCTTTTGATTCCTCTAGCTATCAAATGCAGGAAATTATCAATAACAAAAAGAAAGTTGAAGAAGATATGCTTGATATTACTTATACAATATTTAAAACAAGCATAACAATACATATATTGGTTATGGATTATACATGTAATATAATAATAAAAACAATACTTCAAAAGAGTAGGTGGCTTATCTCTGGGGGGAGGAAAGGAACAGAATCCTGAGAGTACCATAGGGACTTCTGTCATATTTGTAATGCTTTAGTTCTTAAGTTTATTGGTAAGAAAATGAGTGTCCACTATGTTATTCTCTAGACCTTGTTATATGCCTGAATATTTCATGCTATATTAAATAATAATAAGATCAATAGACTTTTCTATAGTTTGAGGAGCAAGTTCTGCCTTATTGTATTCATCTTACAATACAATGTATCAAAACCATAAATTCCCTATTAGCATTGTGTCATGAATATCAGTCAGTTTTAAATAGTAAAAGCTAACAGAAGCAACACTTAGAGTGAAGTGTGTTGCCAGAGATTATGTCCTTAAGTTTCAGTCACCACCAAATAGCATTTATCGTGACCTTTCATGGCCTAGCCAGAGCACTTAGGTAATAATTTACTGGTGCATATTAGACTGAAATTTAAAGTTATTCTCAGGAAATTATGTATGAGGTATACAAACTTCTCATTGTTAAATGATGCCCTGTCTCTCAGGCTTTTAATTTTATCTATAAACTCCTTTAATTTATTCTATGATTAATTTTTGTTAATCTAGCAGTAGTTTATATCTGTTAGCACTATAAGGATATAAAAAATAAAGACATATATACTATGATTCTCCATTTTCCCCACATATAATTTTGGAAACTTTCTTATTGGGGAACTCAAGAGTGAATTTTCAAAGAAGATTACTTTTTATCATGCGTGATAACTAGATTATACTATGTCATTGTGAAGCACAAAGGCAAAAACATTTGTACAGTAAAGTTATTATGATGTAAGATGAGTTTCTCAATCTTGATATATTGACATTTGGGGCCAAATCATTATTTGTTGTAGGGGATCTTTCAGTTCCTTAGAAGATACTTAACAACATTCTGGCCTCTGTCCATTCCCCAAAATGGACACAATCAAAAATGTCTCCGGACATTGCCAGTGTCTCCTGGGAGAAAAATACTCCTTGGTTGAGAATCACTAGTCTAGAGAATTTGGTAATCCTCACCCTATAAAATACTAAGAGAAAAAAGAATAAACATCTTCAAAATATGTATACCTGAGAATGTAGGAAAGGAAGAGTAGCTCAGGACCAAAAACAAGGAAGAAATTGAAAACCCCTGTACTGAGTTGGTATTTAAAGGAGTTGATGCTGACCTGGAAAGGTAGGGAAGATTTGCTGATTTTAATAACTGAAGGGCTTGATTTATATTTTTTAAATTTTTAATTGATTTTATGATTCACATGCAATAAAATATAAAGATTTTAAGTTCTCAAATTTTTATAATAGCATAACTTATGTATCTATCACCCAAAACAAGATATGGAACATTAGAGACTTGTATTTTAATTGCTACTCAAGTGCTATAAAGGTACCTTTTTGTTGTTGTTGTTTTAATTTTATTTTTTAGGTGTAGATGGACACAACACAATGCCTTTATTTTTTATGTGGTGCTGAGGATCGAACCCGGGTCCCACCTGTGCTAGGCGAGTGCTCTACTGCTGAGCCACAATCCCAGCTCCCTGTTGTTTTTCTCTTTTGGTACTCAAGATTGAACCCAGAAGGGCTTTACCACTGAGCCACATTCCCAGCCCTTTTTATTTATTTATTTTTTTATTTTGAGATAGTGCCTCACTAATTTGCTTAGGGCCTCACTGTTGCTAAAACTGGCCTTTTGTGATCCTTCTGTCTCAGCCTCCCATGTGGCTGGGATTATAGGTATGTGCCATAATGCCTGGCTAAGCTAGAAGCTCTTTAAGGACCACATTCTTAGTGAGAAGGAACTAGAAAAAAATTATTTCCCTTGGCACCAAAGTGTTAAGGAATTTTTTCTTGTCTTGGTTTTTGGAATGGAAAGTAGCAGTATATCACTAACTTTGTTTAGGAATCATAAACTGAGAAATTAACTTAAAAAGTGGACCCAGACTTGTTCAGATTCTGTTTCACTCCCCCCACCTTCCAACACAGTATAACAATATAATTTAGTCAGTTTCATTTACACTACCTCCCCTGTCTCTTTCCTCCTCCTCTTTCCTGGTCCCCTCCTCTAACCTATTGGTCTCCTCTGTTTCGAGAGGTCCCCAACATCTTTTTTTTTTTTTTCTCCACTCTTTTTCTCCCTAGCTTCCACATATGAGAGAAAACTTATACAACCCTTTACTTTCTGAGTTTGACTTTCTCAATTTAAGTTTTTATGGGTGTTCTACATACATCTGTGATGATGGGACAAAATGTGCTAAAAAAACTGACTGATATGCTCATGACACAATACTGATAGGGAATTTATGGTTTTAATGCATTGGATTGCAAGATTAATAAAACAAGCAGAACTTGGGTTTCAAGCTATAGAAATCCATTGCTCTTATTATTTCATAGATGTGCTAGGGAAATGCTTATTGAAAGATGACTACTACATTTATTTCAGATAAGATAAATATACTTTAAGGCAAAAATATTGTTAGAAATTAAAATATTAGGATTCTACCTCTTGGGTCCCCTTCTTCCTCTGGGAGAAGTCTTTTCTGCTGTCCTCTAATAAACTTCTAATTTCTATTCTGAAAAAAAAGAAATTAAAATATTAATGATATACAAAGAAAATGTATAGAAGTAATATTATTAGAAATAAATTTTGCATATAACAGCATAGCTATGAAATTCAGAGGAAAAACCTGACATAATTGCAACAGAAATCAACTGTAGTATTAGGTAATTTTAAGATGTATCTGTTAATAAAAGAATAATTAAGCATATAAAATATTAGACCATTTGAATGTAGAACATAGAACATTTACAAAAGCTCAAAATGTTCTAAACCCTAAATCAGATTCTCAACAAAATTCAAAAATTGGGCATAGAGGGCTGGGATTGCTGAGTGGTATGGTGCCTATCTAGCATATGCAGGGCTCTGGGTTCAATCCTTAACACTGGGGGGGGGGCTGCAGGGCGAAGTATGCATAGAAAAACAATGTTCTTGTCACAATCTAGTTAGGAACAAAAATACACTCCTTGATAAAGAGAGAGGGAGGAAAGGAGGGTATGGGGAAGTACTGGAGAATGAAATTACCAAATTATGCTATGTCCATGTACAAATATACCACAATGAATCCTGCCTACATATATAATTGTAATACACTGATTAAAATGAAAATAAAGAAGGGAAATCAGAGTAGAGCAAGCAGCTTAGAGAGAGGGAGGAGGGAAGAAAAGGGGAAGTACGGGGGAATGAGATTGATCAAATTATGTTATGTGCATCTTGGCATGATGAATTCAACTATTAAATATAATGCACCAATAAAAAATAAAAGAGAATAAAATAAATATTTAAAGCAAAAAAAAATAAACAAAAGCCATTCCTACATGTATGGAAATTACTTTGGAATTGTTTATTTTATTTTCATCTATCACCACTTCTAATTTAAACATACTAATGTGGACTTGTATTTTTAGATTAGCAGTAGGTCCCATCAAGAGCTTTATAAAACTCTAGATTATCCTATTTGGGACTGGCCAGATATGTCAGTTATTATCTTTCATAGCTGTTTCCCCCACCCAAAGTATAATGCCTGCCATGTGACAATAATGTAATACAGGACTTTTCAGATGAATGAATGTAATTATAGATTCCCCTATTGTTTCTGGATTTAGGATATACCTTCTCATTAAATTTAGCTAGAAATGTAGCAAAATATATAGTTAGAGATAGCAGTAAGTTAATTGTAGCCGGATTTACAGATTAATTTGTTAAATCATTTTTTTTCAGTTGTTAAAATAGTATTAAAAGAATCAGAAGTTAAAACTTTCAGTTTCTAGCTTTATTGAATACCTATTATGTATAAGACAAAATCTAGTCATGGAGGGAGAGGTGAGGTATTGTACAAGACACTGTTCAAAGACATTTATGGATTTCAAGTTATCTCAAGCCAAAGGATTCAGTGGGGAAAGCCTATATATATTCCTGCAAAGAAAAACTAAGTCAGATCTTAGTAAAGCAGTATTTTATTCTGAGTGCAGTGGTTCATGACTATAATTCTAGCATTTCAAGAGATTGAGGCAAGAGAATCACAAGTTTGCAATTTAGCAAGACCTTGTCTCAAAACAAAAAGGGGTATGGGTAAAGCTCAATGGTAGAGCACTACTGGGCTAAATCCCCAGTACTACAAAGAAAGAAGGAAAGAAAAAGAAGAAAAACAATATTTTATTTTCATTTTGAATTATAGATTTTGAAAACTTAGGCAAGAGGGTGGGGAACATTGAGGACACAGTACATGTTTATAAGAGAAATAAGTGTGGACACATTTTTAACTTTGGTTAATCAGTATTAACTTCAACATACTTATAAGGAGCAAGAGGAATGTACTGATTAAACAGCTACAGAAGAAAGTCATTTTACATTAACACAGAATATCAGCATCTGGTCAACATACTGATCTTCTGCCAGACACAAGAAAAAGGTCAGAGATATTCTTAATTGCAACAGTAGTATTTTCTAAGAAAAAAGGGGAGGGGCACTGGTGTGGTTGGTGTGTGTGTGTGTGTGTGTGTGTGTGTGTGTGTGTGTGTTACTGAGGATGGAACTCAGGGCTTCACATATATTAGGCAAGTGCTCTACCACTGAGCGATATCCCTTTTTAAAAATTTTCATTTTGAGATAGGGTCTCACTAAATTGCCCTGACTTGCCTTGAACTTGCAATCCTCCTGCCTCAGCCTCCTGAGTAGCTAGGATTGTAGGTGTTTGTCACCACACCCAGCTGAGAAATATTGCTTTGATGAGTTGAGATGAACTATAAATAAAGACTTGCAGGATGGACCAGAAACTAACTGATAGACTGATAGGTATCCTTACCTTTAGAAATATCAGCATTCAGGGCCATTCTTTTTGTGTTCTAAAGTATCAGATTCTTAACTTGAGAATTTTTCCCGCTCAAGAATTTCCTATCCAAATTCTCTAGGATTTCATTAGGGCAGATTACTTACCTTAATCATAGTATCTTTTACACTTGTGATTCTTATATACTTCACTATAAATGCACAGCATACCTGTGTGACTTCAGGCAAGGAACTTAATCTTTCTGTTTCTTGGCTGTTAAATATAAACTGCATCAGCTTTCTTAGAGTTGTAAGGATAAATAAGATAACTCCTAGCACAAGATAAACACTTAGTAAATAATAGCTATTATTATTGTTATCTCTCTTCAGGCAAGTTTAGTTCTAACTCTCCTATCGTTTTGTCTATCTTCCTCAAGTACTTATCTGAGAACTTATCCCAGAATCAGTAAAAAATATTTCACATTGTTGCCTAATTTCTTGAGTCTTGGTGGTGTAAGATAGCCTTTTCACACTGAGTTTCTTTGAGCAGTTTCAAAGGAGGTGCTTTATGATTCTAAAAATATTAAGTATTTTAAACAGAAATCTGTGAACTCAAATGATATAAAACAGGATTTTAGGTAGTAAAGACTTGCTGTATTAACATGCTGCTGAGGGCTGGGGATGTGGCCCAAGCGGTAGTGCGGTCACCTGGCATGCGTGCGGCCCAGGTTCGATCCTCAGCACCACATACAAACAAAGACGTTGTGTCCGATAACTAAAAAATAAATATTAAAGTTCTCTCTCTCTCTTTCTCTCTCTCTCTCTCTCTCTCACTCTCTCTCTAAAAAAAAAAAACATGCTGCTGAATTCATTCATTTTTTGCTTTTCCTATCATTTTTTGTTAATTGGTTATCTTGATATTGAAGGTTAGATTGCTAAAAATAAAAAAAACTACAAATGAGAATTTGTTACCATTTAATTTTTCCTCCATAAATTTTAATAGTGTCCTATCAAGACAAAATACAGAAAAAAGGATAAAGAATGCAAGTGAAACACATAATTCCTGTTTTCATTGCTTTGTATTAACCAAAAGAGCCTTATTGTTGTCATTGATTGATTTTTATAACAAATTCATTTTATAAATTTAAATAAAAATAAATCTATTCTAATTAAATGTGAATTTATCTGCTCCTTTAGGAAAGAACAGATGTTTATAAGTAACTTACCTGAGTGTGCATATATTTGATAAGCATTTGTTGCGCTGCCAGGTAATAATAGGCATTATGCTATAGGTTAGGACATAGGTTTGCCAGACTCTTGATGACAGTCTTTGGCTAAACATAAACCTATTTGGGTTTTCATATAATTGTACATTTAGAAGAATAAAGACTTTATTGCTTTAAAAATACTTTGTAAACCATTAACTTAGAAAGTGTCCTATCTCTATGAGTCAATTGATTACTACTTTTTTTGCTTTTTCAGAGGTCCAGCTGGAGTAAGAGCCCAAGCTCTGGATAGAGATGGAAATCTGGTAGATGATTTTGTATTTGATGGAGGAGTTGGGGATATTGGAAGTCGCATTCTTCATGTGAGAAATGCTCCTTCCCCTGCTGCCACTTCCTCCCTTGCAATTTCTGGAATGATTGCAGATGAAGTGCAGCAACGGTTTGAATTGTAAATAATGGAAGGGGTTGGGTATGCATTATAACCTCCATATCAGCAACAAGAATGTATTAATTGTGTTCTTTAATTATAATTTAAGAAAAAGATTTTAAACCAGGATGGTGGCACATGCCTGTAATCCTAGTGACTTGAGAGGTGCCAGGAGAATTGCAAGTTTGAGGCCAGCCTAGGATACTTAGCAAGATCCTGATTGCAAAACAAAAGCTAAGTAAGTATAAAATAAGCAGGACTCGGGAGATGGCTCAGTGGTAGAGCACCCGTAGGTTCAATCTCAGTACTGGGGGAAAAAAAAAGAAAGAAAGAAATGGTTTTAAAGTCACCCTTTTAGATTAAAAACCCCACTGAATCATCAAAATAGTATAAGAGAAATAAGAATTTTAAATAATTAAATTTCATGCTCTTTGTGAATGAAGAAGCAAGGTGAAGTTTTATCTGTCTTGAATCCCTGACTTTGTTAATGATCTATCCTTAACTGACCAGGATCAAGAGAAGACTTGACTCTTTTAGAATTTTGGGAAGGAGCTGACAAGTAGTCTTCAGCTACTTGGGATGATGAGATGGAGAGGATCACTTAAGCCCAGGCTGATAAGTTGTTACTAGCCTGGGCAAAATGGTGAAAGCTCACCTCATTAAAAAAAAAAAAAGAAGAAGAAGAAGAAGAAGAAAAGAATCTTTTGGTAAAGGTGAAATAAAAAGTTGATTATTCTTTGAAATCAGTTTTTTGGCTTTAATAAGCTGTTTTGTCTCTCTTAGAAGAAAAATCTAGTATAGTGTATTGTATGTTGCAAACGTTCTTTTAATTCTGAAGAGTCATAGAAGAGCTGACATAACTCAGAACAACAGTTTTATATTTGAAAGTTAAAAATTTTTAATTTCAAGAAAATACATGATATTTCACATTTCTAAGTAGTTTAAAACAAAACTTTTATTATTTCTAATCTCTTTATACATCTCTTTATAACATGTGATATTGGTATCACTAAATTCACACAGCTGTATATCATATGTGATTACTGCTACAGTCTTCTGTGGTTGAGAAACTAAAATCACCTAGAACTGATAGTTTTTTATAAGAGCATTTTAGAATCCTGACACTGATGTATAGAACTCTGTAATTTTAAACAATTATTTATCTCATACCTCTGTCCTAATATTTTTAAAATGTTGGCCAAGATCACTCATGATTCATACCTATTTGGTTTTTCAGGGCTCCTATAAACTTTTATGAGGACATTTCTCCATTTTTGATGAATATCTAACTTTGAGGCATTCACTTTTGTAAACCGCGAAAGTGCCTTACGTTCATGTGTACTTCATGACTATGTTAAATCAGTGGCCAGTGCCATTCTGTATACTGTATATATGTGTATGGTTTATCTGATTGAATGTTTCTTACAGTTGAGAATGTTGTCAAATAGAAATGTAAGTGAAAAACGTGGCAACCTGACTGGAGAAACAGAACCACAGTTTAGGTGAGACATTTTCAATCTATTCTCTCACATGTGCTCCCTCAGGACTAATCTTCCACGTTTCATTTTTCTTACCTCTTACCTCTCCAAAACTGTTTGATGGATGAGTAGAAAGGATGTGCATGTTGGTTGATAGGAAAAACTTTTCTGTTTTCTTCCTTTTTTCTTCACTTCAGCCTTGGTGATTACATTGACCAAGCTACCTCATCAATTTGAAAGAATACTCATCATCACCTCCAGTTCAAGAAGCAGCTCATCCTAGGTAAATAGATTAGGCAATTATTGAGCAGTGGGGATGAGCATATTGAGAACATTCAGAAGTCACTGACAGAAGAAACAAGCCCCAATGGATCATTACAACAACTGATTCCTTCGAGAAATGCAGCACACAGGATGTTTTTCTGTTCTGTTACAAGACTAATAAGACGTGGAAAATATTACAGTTCTCTATTTCATCAGCAGTAAGATTGCATACACACTACGCTGTGGAAAAGACTAAAATTACAAAAGTAACTGTCCTAATGGACGCAATCCTCATTCCATTGGGGTCTGTACTATACCCCCAAAAATGTAAGCAGGAAATTTATTGAAAAAATTTTTGAACATGTAGGATATTCTGTTTGAATATTAAGTCAATAGGGTTTTATTGTTAAATACTTATATAATATTTAAGAGTTTTGTGTCTGAGAGAAGAAAATGTATATTAGTATTAAAATATTTTAATGAGCCTTGGTGTTGTGAACATATTTTTTAGTTCCATAAAAACTTTTACTCAAATACTCTGTGTGTAAAACTTAAAACTGTCATAGCTTTAGATAAGCCAATCTTTAAAAAATTAAAAACTGCCTTTCTATTTGTATATAACATAAAAATGAAGCAGAGAAGTTTATATTTTAGGTTAAAAGTGAAGCATTTTAGGTTTTAGCTTCATTGTGTTTAGTTTGTGGGGAACTCAGGATACTGGCAAGTACATTTTTGGTGTTATATAACTTAACTCTTTTATCTATACATGTATGTATATCAAAGTCCTCCCTTGATCCTCTCAAAGTTTGCACTGTTTGGGGAGTTGCCCTTGTTGTTGGCAGAGTTTCACTTCCCCTGAGGTCATTTAGAAGTTTGCCTACTAGCTACTGGATAACTTTAACTCTTAAAACTTTCTTCAAAGGACGGTGGTGAGAGGGATATATATTGCTAACCTCTGGCATATGGGAGTGTGTTGGGCCTGCATTTGGAGGCTGTCCAACCCTGATGGCTATGCCTGTGAGTTATCCCTCTGAACCTGAGACAGATGGTGTCTATATTGTTTAAGAGCTAGCTCTGCCCTCCTGGGCCCTTGATCTATGTCTAGACTTCTTTGGCTAAATGTTTCTTCATCTTTCTGAGTATACACCATTTATTATCTAAACACATTATGGACAATTTTGAGGAGCAATTGTGAAGTAAGTTGCTAAGTTTTTGTAAACTCCAGGATTTTTAAAAAATCTCTTCATAAGAATTTAAGGTGGAAGGATGGGTGCAAGGACAGGGCAAAGTGGTTGGGAAAGAAAAATGCCTAGAAATGTTTTCAAATAGTTTGTGCCCATTAAAAAATGGACATAAACCCCAAAGCCCTGAAGGGAAGAATGGTGAAACCAACCAACTCTATACTTTTCTGACCTCAAATCCTAAAGTGGATCATGTTTTGTGAAGTGTTATTATTGCCTGCTAACGGAAGGGTCTTTCATCAAAGTTATCTTGTTAAGATTCTTTTGCCTCTTGGATGAATGAGAATTTTACCTTTTACATGTGACAGGAGAGGTATATGATAGCATGCTTTGGGTTGCTCAGGGAGCCCCATTTTAAATTTAGGGAAAGACCTGAAGGCCAATGGTAACAAAGTGATGTTGCTTACTAAAGAACCTTGAATTTCAGCCAAGTTTGGCTTAAAACTGTATCTTTAGAATCACTTCTTTTTAACTTGTTCCTCTGAAACTGCTGGAGTAAAATGAATAGGCAAAAGCGGTGTTGATAATTTTCTCCATGCCTTTCAGATATAATTTTACTTACATTTGTCCACTGAGAATACAAGAAATGTCTTTTAGTGCCACCAGTTTATGATCAAGGGTATTTTGAAGGATCGGGTAGCCAGTATTGCTTGGAATACAATATCAAATTGCTGTTTCCAAGAATGTCTAATTTCTTCAACCTTTGATTGCCTAACTTTTTCTTAGATTCTTGATCAATCGTACTAGCTGGGACATGTACAAAGTTCTAATTGCCTGGATCCTTTTAAATAGCAAGAGCCAACCAGATGGAGATGTACCTCAGTGGTAGAGCATGTGCCTAGCATTTGTGAGGCCAACCCTGGGTTTAATCCCCAGCACCACAAACAAATAAATACTGGTAACTAAGTATGTTGGTAATGTTATAAAGCAGTTGTCTTCTGATATCCAAGATGGTGCTTTGGGATTTAGGGATATCAAGTAAGGTTTGTTTTGATATCAAGTAGGGTTTGTTTTGATTTGTTTTGTTTTTGCTTTTATTTTTGCATGTTAGAATTTTGTGGTTGGTAGTAAATTTTTTAACATACTTTGAGTTTAGATTTCTCTCAAATTACTTGATAAGTTTTTTAGAATTAAATAAAATAAAGGCCTAGTATTAAATTTTGTGTTATTTTAACAAGGTTGAGATGACATTGAGGATTTCAAGGTTCCACCAGCATTTCCAATTGAGAGGATAGTGGAAGGAGAATATATTGATTGCATTTATCCTAAGAATGTATATGGTAGGTGAGAACAGGCTTGAAGGGAATCAGGACTAATCCAAATTATTCAGCTTCCAGGAGTACCAACAAGAATTTTTAGAAGGATCACATCGATGGATCACATCAAAGGATCACACTATTTTTGCCTAAGTAGAGGGTATATGTAAATTTGGCCAAAAAACCTGAAATTTGGCCAAATATGGTAGCCCATGCCTCCAATTCCAGCCACTCAGTAGGCTGAACACAGAGGATTGCTTGAGCCCAGGAGTATGAGACTTGTCTGGACAACATAGCAAGACCCCTGTCCCCCAAACAATAATAATAACAAAAACAAAACAAAAAAAACATGAGTAGAATATCGTAATTATCAAATAAAATAACACTTCATGGTGGGCTAGTAGTATAAATTAACAAATACCATTTTTTTCCTACCCTTGTGGAGGAAGTTTGTGTCTTTTGGTATTTTGAGTTCAGCTTCTGGGAATAGAATCTATTCTAACAAGATAAATAAGACTATATTTATTCTAAGGCATACAAGATCATTAGAAAGCTGATGAAGTAGACTCTAGATAGGTTGGGCTTTCTGGAACAAATCCTAAAACCACACCACAAACCAGGCCACCAACATAGCAGTTCCAAAATAACTATGATCCATCAACAGGGTAATTGGCCAGACAGTGAGTCTAGCCATTGCTGCTGCTGCACACAAATAGTGACTAAACAATAGCTGCCTGCAGAAGTATGAGATTTGTAGCTTCCATTCACATCTGGCTTCTTAGATCTCACTTCCATTCACTTCTTAGATCTTCTTAGATCTCAGAGTATATCTGAAAAGCTCATCCTAAATCATTTCCAGAATCCTAGCTGCAAGGAATCTAGCTTTTAGCTTTCCTATTAGTGATAATAGGATACTAGGAGGATAGAATGTACGTTGCCTGTCATATGCTATAACCATCACGCCTACTAATTAATTACCACAATGTAGGTAAATTACTATATGTGCTAACACTTTGGGGAAAACAAATCAATATTTGTTTTATTTATTTTCTGATTGCTAACAAACTAAACCCTGTCTGGGAGCTATACTGAACAGATGATGAATATATTCATTGTTGATACCTCAACTTGATAACCATCAGGACTTGGAAGGATTTTATTGCAATAATACAAATGATAAGAACTTGAATGGTGCCTTTCACTTTTATTATAGGACTTTGTATCTGGAACAGCTACTTACAAAAAATGACTATCTGGTAATGGTGGCAATATCTGAATGACCTCAGTGTCATTTTCGTACTCCAGAGCAACAGGAAAATTATTTATGTTTAATAGCAGATTGTAATTAACAATAACACATAATGCTTTTTTCTATAGGCACAATGAATCTTTTGGAATTTCATAAAAATTATAGTTCCTTTTGAGAAGACATCATTGGTAGTCTTTTGCAGGGCATGGGGTTTCCAGAGAAGAGCCTCCCATGAGGGTTGTTGGTCGACTCTGCTCCCACTTCTTTCAGGCAAGTTGACTATGAAAGTACCAAAGCCCATATATGGCAGCGAACTATGAAAGTAACAACATTTATTGTTTCCTGTGGTGTTGCTTTGATTTACTACTTATTGTCAGCACTTGTAGCTTTAAGTAAATTAAGGAAGTATGAAATCAGAAATGGGAGAAATGTTGAACAAATCCTTTTAGCAAATATTTTTTAGTGAGAGAATATTAGTAGTAAAATTTTATCTGCCTTTTAAAATCAAAGATGTACTTGGGTCATTCAAATTATCTCCCAAAGCCATTATAAATTTGAAAAGGCCAAACAATTACTGCTATCAAATTATTAATGAAGTATTTAGTGTGTTAATTTCATCTCAACTTTATGATTGAATTTTTGTTATATGTATGTACCCCTTCATAGTATCAAAGCTTAATATTTCCATTTTTTTTGGCCCATGAAGCAAAAGTTTATAATCAAGTTGGAATATTTTTTTATTAAAAATAACTTAATTTTTTAGTGTTTTGAACAAATACCACATTCAGTTGGTTGAAAATTCAAGTTACAAAAAGGAACTTAGTGAAAAATCCCTCTCTCCTTCAGCCACCCAGTTTTCATCTTCTGTTACAAGAATATTGTATAGTCTTGCAAAGAAATTGTATTTACATACATAAAATAGTACCTACTTTAAAAATATAAGTGCTACCATATTCTGTGTATTATATTAAGCATCCTGCTCTTTTTACTTTGCATTGTATCTTGGGGAATGTTCCACAGAGTCTTGGTCTTACTTTATAGGTTCCATTATGTGGATTTACGATTATTTATTGAACCAGTATTCTAGTCCTACTGATTATTTAAATTAATGTTTCTAAGATGTGTTTTGTTTTTGTCATAATGAACAACACTACAGTGAATAAACTTGTCTCTAAGTGGTTTCATATGAACAAGTATACCTCTGGAACACAATCCTAGAATTTGGTAGGTCAAAGGGTATGAACCTTTCAAATTTGGGTTTTTTTCCCCTTTTGTTTAGTTTTATTTATTTATTTATGTGTAATTGTAGATGGACAGAATGCCTTTATTTTATTTGTTAATTTTTATGTGGTGCTGAGGATCGATCCCAGTGCCTCACATGTGCAAGGCAAGTGCTCTGCCACTGAGCTCCAGCCCAAGCCCCAGCCTGTTTAGTTTCTTTCTTGAGGTGAAGTTTGTACTATGTTTTCCAGGCTGGTCTCCAACTCTTGGGCTCAAGTGATCCTCTGCTAAGTAGCTGAAACTATAGGTACACACCATCCCACCTGGCTCCTTGAAGCTTTAGTAGGTATTATCAGTTATCAATTTATACTCCCATCTATAATAGAGTTCCTATTTCTGCATATCTTTAATGTCATAGTGGGTAATCAACCTTTTTGAACAGTGCTGTTCTAATTGATGAAAAAATAATAACAGTATAATTTAAATTTGCATTTTTTTCTTATATGAGCAAAGTTGAGCATCTTTAATTAAAGTTTAAGAGACATTTATATTTCCTTTTCTGTAAACTATATTTCATACCCTTTTTTTCCTTATTGAATTTTAGTCTACTAATTTGTAGGAACACTTTTCTATGTTAGGGAAATTAATTCAAAAGTGAATTTAAAAAATGAGTTGCAGGGTTGGGGATGTGACTGAGTGGTAGAGTGCTTGCCTAGCATGCTTAAAGCCCTGGGTTTTGTGGTGCCCTAGCACCACAACAAAACAAAATAAAACAAAAAAGCTTAAAAAACTTGTAGTCTAAAGTTATAAATGTTTTATTTTTTACATGTAAATTTTTGATATATCAGGAATTTATGGTAGTGTAATGTGTGGGGTGTGGATCCAACTTTGTTTTCTAGATGGCCCACTTGGCTGGCTGGGAAAATTTTTACTGGTGTCATTCTTAGATTATCTCCTTCATGCATGAAGATCACATTTCTGTTTGCCTAGCCCAGAGATCACAGCTCAGATGCCTGTAGAGACTAGGCAGGTTACATAAAAGGGGAAAGAATGCCAAGTGGGGAGTATAGCCAACTGGAAATGGGATGGCATACTTTCCTAAAGAGGGCAGCCACTACCCAGTGCCTGCTGATTATTCCCTTGCACAAAGGCAGTACGCCCAGCATTGCCTGATTTTGTCAAGAGAATCTGGAAATGTAGATTTTTATATGTAATCTCTTGAATTTTAAAATGGTAACAACAATTTTAAAGATTAAAATACAGCCATGACTAAACAAAATGTGTCTTCAGGCCAGATTTGGCCCAGAGGAGACCTCTGATATCCTTGGACAAGAATAAAACTTCCCACCAACATTATTCTCTTATGAGAAAGTATGGTACCAATCTAGCAATTTGACAGTTAGTAGTTTATGGCTTGGGTCTGGGAATAGGGGAGAAAAGTAAGAACACTTTATAGAAGTCAAAGTCTTCACCCTTACTGACTGAAAGATTAGTTGGAGAAATACAAGCCTTGCACTATCCCGTCTTTATCCCAAGTACACGGCAACGTGCACATGGACATTTATTGCAGGACATTCTGACTCAGTGGATACTTGGATTAGACAAATGCCTGCCTGTTTTGTTTTGCCAAGATCATGAAATGGTGCATGTTTTGGGAAGGATAATTTCTCAATTACTGATTCTGGAAGTGAAATGTTCCATGGGCTAATTTTTTTTTCACCTTGTTCTTCCTTTCCCTTGCTGCTGGTGGCTGGGTAAAGGGAGTAGTACATGCCTTTATTCTTTACAACCTGTTAAAAGCCATGTGCTCAGCATCGTTAGTGGGGTGAAATTTTTGACAGAGGTTCTAGAGTTTGTTTTCTCAACTTAGAGAACCTTATAGATTGGGGATTCTTTTTTTTTCCTAGCTTGCTCCTGAATAGGACTTCATCCCATGAGCAGATCTAGGTTTTGTAGAACCTGAGGCATATGTGATTAAAGGAGACGATTAAGAAAACGAGTTACAAAAAAAATTATCAGAAAGTTTTATGAAAATGATTTGACTTTTGTGAACACACATGGGTTAAGTGAAGGATCTTGAATAAATTCAAGTTCACTTGACAGTGAACTTTTTCTGGCCCTACAACAGTGTGCAAAGGGATTTCTGCGCCCCCCCAATACCACTCGACAGTGTTGTGGGGATAATTATCTCCTATATACCAAGGAGCCATGTAGAGCATTAATACGCTAAGTATCTTGCTAGTTCAGATGCGCTGTTCTCTACAAATCCCTATACTAACTGCCTCCCACGACTGCAGTCCTGCGGCTGGAGGCTCACCAAGGGTGGCACTGTGTCGAGATTGTCTTGGGAAGGTCTAGAGGAAGAAGTGTGTGCGTAAAAATCAATCAATAAATTGGGAAGTAAGTCTGGAATAGACCCCTTGTAAAGTTCCCAGGAGAGGCGGACTCCAGGACCCCCGGCGCCCCAGCGCCTAGCCGGCGCCTTGGCTCCGTGGCGCGCATGCTCCGTGCTGGACCTCTCCGGCAGCTCCGGATAATGAGCGCCGGGCCGAGGGGGCGGGCCGAGCCGCGGCTGGTGCGACCCGGAGCTCGGCTGTGGCCCGAGGCGCTCTGCGCGGCTGCTGAAGGGGCGGCTGCAGCTGGGCCAGCTCTGTACGTCTGAGTGGGGCTCGCTCGTTCGCCGCGCACGCCCCGTCGGTCCCCTGGGCCCTCTGGGGGTGACTTGGACGGGCCGGGCCGGCGGCGTTGCCTGTCGGGAGGGCGGGGATGAGGAGAGGAGCTGCTGCCGCCGCTCTCAGCCCGCCGCGGCCGTAGCGGGAGTCAGGGCGGAGGCAAAGCCAGCTGTACCCTCGCCGGGCTGCGAACTCAGACAAAGGAGGAGCCGCCGTAGGAGCGGGCCAGCGCCGTGAGAAAGGAGGTCGCTGCCTGGGGTGGCCGGAGTTCGCGGCCACCGCGCTTCCTTAGCGGGCGCTGAGCGAGG